ATTATATATATAAAAGAAGTATATATATATATATATATATATACGTTTATATACAATATCTTATTCTCGACCTTAAGAACTCAGGCGCAAATACATAAAAATAACTAAAGCTCTTTCATATTTTTTCACATAGTTGCTCGATTACCAGCAACAATATTATAATATTACAGTACAACAAGAACATGTCAATCAGTTTTTATTCTATTTTTATATTTCATTATGATCATCGTTTCGATCGCTGTATTTTTTATCTAACTAATCGCTTCACTTATTTTTTTCACTTTTCTAAAAGAAGGATCGCTCAATGAGTCGAGTGTACGGTGACAAAAAAATCTCATTTACACGAATACTGTATGATCTATCAGAAACGAAGTTTTTAGTTATTCGCCATTGTTATAGAAATGTAAATTAAAGAAATATTAGAAATATTGTTTTATATTGTGTCTAGCAGGCACGTACACGTACATACATATTTTTGCTACCAGAGGAACTATTATTCTTATTGTTAGTGTTTTGTGTCTTTGCTTTATTTGTTTGACACCGTGAACACTTAACTCATCGATTTAAAGTAGCAAATGAAAAAACAACGCGTAGCGTGTTGCTTCTATCTCTTTTACTTTTGTTTTATATTTCTAAGCTAAGGATGTCCGTCTGTACTTGCTGAATTATCGCTTCATTAGAATATTAGAAATTGATATGAAAAAAGAGGAACTCTCTACCCATGGAATCTACTCCATTCGATAGATCCTCATTTATTATCACCGAGAAGTTTTAGCGCTTTTTTTCGGTCTTAAGCGTACATAAAAGGAGCTATATAACAAAGTATAATATATACGTGATATTTTGAAGGAAAAGAATACACACAGCATTGAAATAATAAATGAATATTGTTTTAAAATATATGACCGAGTTTGTTTTAAGATCATGTATATTTAACATTTTTTATAATCGTTTGATTTGTTTGATAGATGTTCGATATACAATCGCAATTGTCACGTGTCCTCATAAAATTAATGAAGAAAATAAATATGAAATTACCGCGAAAAAATGATGATGAATCGCTTTTATACAACGCTTTTGCATCTCTTGAAGTTTATATTACAAACTAGATGCTTATGAATCTCTTGATGCATAAAAAAGAAAGTGAAAGCATCTTGCCATATCGAAAAATGCGATTAGATTGTGAAGATACATTTAATAAATATAGATTTAATTCATACAATAGTGATGGCAACTAAAATAATATAATTTTCATTGACACATAGGATTCTGAGAAATTGAAATTGGACCAAGTATACATATATTGTATTTATTAGTAAATATTTAAAAATCTCTCCATAGAATACTAATCACACTCAGATACAGCAATAACGCTAAATCTCGAACGTATTATTCCTTCCAGGAATGTAAGTTCGTTTATTAGATAATTAGATTATTATAAGATGAAAAATCGTATCGGAAGATTTACTAAGTACAAAATGAAATGTTGTCTAAAAAATCTTTACACTCGATGAGGGAGACTTTTCTTCGGGGGACATTTCCTAGAAAAATTTGTTTAGTAATAGACTTTCATTGAATACTATCTTTTGCCACATGCTGACATCTTTGTAAAGAATGACATATCTTACACAATTATATAATCTGCCTATACAGCATAATAAAAAGATCATTGTATTGTGATAATCTTAATATAAATGTAAATTCAACAAAAACATTATTCAATTGATAAATTCCTTATTTTAAGGAGCCAAAAATCACAGGCAATGTAGTCTTTACACCGGTACCAATTTACCGATAGGAATTTCCAGAAGTGGCATTTTTACTGCCTTTTATAATTTATTTTTTTCTTTAATTACGATGCTACCTATATCAGATACTATCATTTCTATTAATTAAACTATCTTCTTTGTCGACTGGAGGTGGACCGGTAGTTAATGTGGTACTAGGTCCAGCCGTTAAATAACCAGCTGATACTGGCGTTCCAGCTGTATATTATAATTTATCTTTAAATATATTATGTACATTAAATATTTAATGGATGACAATAATTAATATGTATATCATACCGGTAAGGTAACCAGAATTAGTTGTATTAGAAATAAACAGATCATGCCGCTGATCTTTATATTCCGCCCAAACACTTGACTTCTCCAGTATTGCATTTACTTTCTCACCTAACAACAAACTCCTGGTCATCGCTTTTAAAGCTTTGACTATTTGAGCTTTAGCAGTTGCAGGATTTTCAATTACGTCTAATCGTCCCTCTAATATATTTAGGAGATAAGGTACCATTTCAGCGTCCAGTGCCTATATATAGAACAATTAACAACAAAAATTTTTCGATTTATAATAATGATAATAATAGTTAAAGTCTTATTTACCTGTTTTATGAGTCTGTCTTCATTAGTTGAAAATAGTCTGTTCAACGTTTCGCATGCTATTGCTATCATATCTCGTCTAGATTGCATTGCATGTTTCAATGGACTTATACACTCTGTTTGACAAATAGATGATATACAAATCTGAAAGATAATTTGATAAATAATTTAATGTTATTAATACCAATATAACATTAACAATGTTTATTATAACAATGTTCCATATAAAAAAAAATTATAAAGCTCACTTCGCTTGCTGCTAACTGATGAAGTATTAATATCGCAGTTTTATATACAGATGGTTGATTATTTTGCATTGCCATTTGTCGACATAGCCTAGGTATGTGTCCTAATGATGGAACTTGATCTGCTAAACTTGGTTGTGCTTGAAGTAAACTTACTAATGCTTGTGTTGTTAATTCTAACATGTCCGGCTATTTAAGAGTATTATTAAATTAATCGATATATACATGAACTAGAATAAATCAAAGTGTATACTTACATCAGTTTTTTCTTTGGACATAAGGCCTAACGTCGTATCCATAAGTTCACTTAAAAATTCTTTAGGCTTCCTAAGGGCCCACGCGGGACTGGCTATAAATAATCTAAGGTATACACCTCCGACTGCGGGTTCGTTTGTTGCGACATCAATATTACTTTGAGTTTCAGGTAATTTTAATATTGCATTGGAATTTCGCCTTTGTAACATATAATATCTGAAAAAAATTTATTTCATCATAAATGAAATTAAAAAAGAAGACTAAAATTTTAAAAGCAAATGTCATACTCGTCTTTTAATTCTCCAACAATTCTTGACACTCTAGCTTTGGCATTATCATCCCAGATTAATTCAGGATTCTCGTGTTTTGTTTCAAACATATGCACGCACTGTTTTGGAACATCTCTAATAGCTTCACTAAATAATCTGGGTAAAAATTTAGACAAATCTAATTTCACTTTCGGTCCAGCTAACTTATCAGATGACATTTTACCAAGCAGTTCTGCGGCTGCTTCGCGTATCTGAGTATTACTCGAATTACAAAACAAATCAAGAACGTATATAACAGCACCTATAATTTTTATAATTTTATTTTAGAAAGAAACGTATAATCTCAGTTGTTGTTCGCAGGTTTAGCTTTACCTTTAGACAGTGCATCTTTCACGATCTTCGTCGAGCTCATTAGAGCGTACAAGGTTTCCAATATAAGTAACTGATATTCTTTCAGAGAATTTAAAGCTAATAATAAATGTACTATAACTTCATTTGCCGCAATATCGTCTACACATTCTTGGTTCTTTGTAACATTACTAATAACTTCAAGAGCATTTTTCTGTATCAACTTAAAATTATTACAACTCAAAAGTGAAAATAATAATCTGAAGTGTCCTATACATTGTAATTCAATTCCTGGATTATTTTTAATCACATTCCTTAATGCTTCTAAAGACATAACAATATGTTCCAACTTCTCTTGATCCTTTTTAGTTGATGCTGGATTATTTCCCACTGACATCAAATATTTTGTCGATTCAGACAAAAAGTCAAGTAAATTAATTGTAAAACTTTTAGGATTCTGTAAAGTATTTGTTTACTCGTTTAATTAAAAAAATGTTTTCTCTGAAAAAATGTTATATAATATTAAATTACCTCTATTGGAAAATTGGGTTGTTCATTATATACTTTCACAAATATTTCTCCAATAATAAGTTCACCAGCATGGACGCTATATTTAAAGTCATTAAAATCGTGTTCAAGACTATCATTGCCATTTAATCTTTCCTGTCGTTTAGTTTCCAAATATTCGTTTAATTCTGCCCTTGTCCCGTTATCCCAAATCAAATATGGATTTGAGCAATTCGAGTTCAGGATTTTTAATATTTCTTCCGGTTTATCCTTCGACAGTTGACGAGCTAGATAAGGCGTTAATAAACTTTCTAAAGCAGCAACAGTAACTGGATTAATAGGTGTTTCATTCTCTCCTATCATGTAACCACCCAATCTTGCACATGCTCGAACTGCTAGTTTCGCTAAATTATTTGCCACTTCTTGGCGATTTTCGTCTTGATTTCTTTCAACACCACCTTCTTCCAATGTATAATCGTAATTAAACATAAATAATAATAAATGCCATAAAGCACCAGATTGTAGCAATTGCATTTGTAATACACTGTCCGAAGCAAGGGAAGACACACATTCTGTGGCCACTGAGCATAATTTTGTTAAATGCTGTAAATTATCATTACAATAATTTTAAAATTTATGCAATTTTAATAGCAATTAATGATATTTTAAAAATTGTGACTAACCTTGAAATGTAATATTCTACAGAGATCTTTAACTAGTTGTGGTAGTTCAATAATTTTGTCTTTGCAGCCTCTAAATGATCCGGCAACTGAAAAACATCTAGTGATATGCATGCACACTTGCACTGCTATATCATTAGGTTTACTTGATTTATTTAAAACAGAAACACATCGTGTATAAGCTTCTAATAGAACATCTAATCCTCCTTCTCTACGAAGTTCCTCTGCATTTAATGCAGAACAATGTACAGTATGATATGCAAGTTCACTAGCGGCTGCCAATAATGGCGCGGATTTTGAGAATAATTGCTCATCGTCTGTTTCTAGTTTGATTGTTTTGATTAGTTGTGGATAACCTGCGTATTTGTAAGGTCTAAGTTCATTGGAATATCTATGGAAGAGAATACTCTGTGTTCTTAAAATAAGCACTATGTTATCAGGATTTGGACCATCAGTCGACCAACAACTTCGACTACATAAAAATTCATATGCCTGATTAACAGCCTCAAATTTATCCTATAAACAGAAAATTCTCTATAGAGAATTTAGAAAGTTTGTATATTGTTAAATTTTAATTCAACTTACTCTTCCTTGTGGATTTTTATCAGGATGATACATTTGTGCAAGTTTATAATATGATTTTCTGACTTCAGCTTCGTTATGTTGTTTTTCACTGCACAATTGAAGAACTTTATAAGCTTCATCCACTGTCATCAATGGTGGTTTTTTTTCTACTTCTTTCTTCCATGCATCTAATACATCTTTCAATAAATGTACCTAAAAATTATGCATCATGTTAAATATATTTTAATTCATTAATAAATATTTTTGAATCTGCAATTAACTTACCGGTTCAGGAATAGGCCACTGTGGAAATCTTACAGTATCACATAGATGCCTTAGATAGAATATTTGACAGAATAATTCTTTTTCTAATTGTGGATACCTTATTGCAGGTATAGCAATGTATTGATATCTAGCCATAGTATGACTTCTTAATTTTGGTGAAAAATCTGCAATATGCGTCGCTATTTTTTCAATAAGCATTCTTCTCATCTCGGCATTCCATATTGCTTCTGGTGTATCGTAATCACCGAGAAATATTTGTGCAAATTTTTCTGCGCCATGATTTTCTAAATAACTAACCATCGCATCGGGTAAAAGTTGTCCAAGAATACTTCGCTGCATGATGTCTGATGATGCATTCTATGATATTAAAATTCTATGTAACATGATTGATTTATTTCAATCAATATATAATAAGTAAAAATATATGCTTTATACTTACATCATCATTTCTAAACGCCTGTTTCGTATGAGTTAACTGTAAAAATCTCGCTATTGGTAAAACGTTTGAACCAGTATACATTAGTATGAAATAAAAGACACCAGTAAGATAAATTTTTGACATATCTGCGTTATCTCGCATTATTTCACATAATAAAGTAGCTACTTTTTCAACTAAAACCGGGTCAAACGTTAATAAAAGTTGAACAATATGAGGTAGGCACTGAAGATCAGATAATAACCGTTTCATGCGCGGTAGGGGTCTGATTACCGCGTCATCAACATCTCTACTTGGAAAATACTCGCACATTTTGATTAAAATATTTAGAATCAATGTTGCTAATTCACTTTCATTTATAACTGGTGCCCCTTTTGCGACTAACGTCCATTTTAATTGTGGAACTTGCGAGATCATTCGCCATCCGTCTAATCCTTGTGCCCAAACTTTTGTTTTGTATGTAATATGATTTGTAAGATACAATTCTTTTAAATCTTTCAAACTTATAGGACCTTTCCGCTGATCTCCGTCATTGTAATACCACTCTTTTTCCATAACTTGTTGTTGTTGTGGTCCTGCTTCTATTACATTAGTTTGTGTTGGTATCACCGCTCTAGATGTATGTAAATGAGCCAGAGTTAAGAGATCAACTAATGTGCGTACTCCATTTTGATCCATTATATCTTTTACATTTCTTCTATGTAATATAAGTTTATTTATGAACATGACTAGTCTATCACGTTCCATTCTATCTGTACAACGTTCCAGCATTCCTACAATATATTTTGTATCCGAAAATGGACCAATATCTTCGTAGTATCGTTCATATACTATAGTCATTGCTTGCAAGCAAAGGCACTTCATTTCAACTTTTGTTGTTAGTATGAATCTATGGTATAAGTCGTTAAAAAATTCATATCTAAAACAAAAATAAAAAATAAATATAATAATGTAATTTAAACCGTAAAGAAACAATTAATATTGCATTATACATACGATTTTCTTATTGGACTGTCTGGACTATCTTTTTCCAACAAAAGCCTCAAATAATAATCACCGATTTTCACTTCATCTGACAGGCACTGATACTGTACTTCAAATTCCCTATGATTCCAAGCAATTAAAGTTCCTCCTGCTAAATCTTTGTCAAAAGTGAACGCACGAATTTCATTCTCAAGCGCGGTTCTTAATTCCTCCCGTGTTTTATGATTCCAAATTAAATTTGGCAGTGAATGATCCTGATTGAATTTATAATAAAATAAATTCCAATTTGCTTCTGATTTAATTCTCTCTCTACGTTTTCTTAAGACTATCGGACGTTCTTTGATTTTCTCTTTACGCTCGATTCCAATCCTGGCACCCCAGTGTTGAAGAGCATGCTCTACATGTTTCTCAACAACACGCATTTGACGTTCGATCGCAATCCATTGTGGACTTTTCTTATTTTTCGATGCGTGATCTATAGCTATCTTTAAATTGTCACGATTGTTTAATCGTTCCTTTTCCAAAAATGAATCGGGTACTTTTTCATCGGAGTCTAAGTAATTTAATAAACCAACAGGCTGTATAAATGCATAATGAATACAAACTTAGATGCTTCCATTTTTGCAATTAAATAAAAATGATATTATAAGCTCAATCAATAATGCTAATTTACCATAATCCTTTTTAACAGTCCCATAGCTGTAGGATGTCCTGTAACCCAAAGTCCTACAAGATGTCTACACAATTGCCTATGTGTTAACAATCTACCATCAGTACCAACAGTAAAAAGACTATTTAATAAATGTCTTGGTAAAGCTCCTTCTGCAAGGGCAAGTTCTTGCATTTTTGCAGCAACTTCTGGCGCACCTTCTTCAATGATCGCTCTCATTATTAATCCAGCACCTTTAACGATAGCTAGCGATGGATGTTGAAACAATTTAAAAAGTGATCTTCCTCTTGCGGCGACCATTTCTAGAAGATTATCAAAATGTTTTCCATCGGTCGTTTCACTGTATGGTACACATAGAGCAAAAGTTAAAAGATCAAGCATGGCAGAAACTACCAGAGCACCTGTACCATGATTCTGAAATATTTATGGAGATAATGTTAATATTACAGATAGAACAATAATTACTATTGTTAAGGAAATGATAATATTAGTATTTTTACACTTACTATATGGTTAACCCACATATCAAGTAAATTTTCCAAGAATTTATTACTACTGAGAAGGCTACTTTTATTTAACTGTTCTTGTCTTAAATCACAATCATCATGCATTGGTTGCATAAGGGCACAAATACAATCTATAGCAGCTTGTGTTACACCATAATCTTGTCTTTTTAAAGCTTTCACAACTTTATGTCCAATAGCTTCTCTAAATCCAAGGAGAGTTGTAAATGCAGTAAAACCAATTTTGCTAGCAACCAGTCTCCTTAAAGCATGAAATTGTGCTTCTATTTCACTGTTTGTTTCTAATTCTTTATTGACCAATGCATTTAAAGCACCAAGAATAATTTTATCTTTATTTTCAGTAAAAAGACCCTGTAAGTAGTTATTCATCAAATGGTAAATTTGAAGTTGTAATGATGTTACAGTCCATTCAAGCGGTACAATACCCTGGACAAAAAAAGAAAATATCTATTCAGTTTGTTATATGATCTATTCATTACTATAAATGAATATACAAATATATCTATTATCACAAAATAAAGATAAATTAAATTTAGTTTTGAAAAGTCTAATTATAAATAAAAAAACAACAAAAAATACGAAATATTAGAAACAACTTTTTTATATGGATATTTGTTCAATTTATTCCAGTCTGTGTATGATAATTTTGTGTCATATATAGATTTTAATAAAATTTAATATATTTTAATTTAAATTTAATAAACAATCACCGCTTTAATGCACTGTATAATATTTTGTCTTATAATTGGTAATATTGAAATTTAATATTATATATACTTATATATACAATATTAAATATTGAATATGTCTTACATCTTGTGTAACAGAGTAATTAAGACCACTGTAGGGAATGTTTGCATTAAATCTTTCCAAAATTTCAGCAAAAGTACGTCCACTTGGTGGTTGCTGAAGAAACTTAACATGAGATATTTCAACTTCTTCATCAACAGGTAAATTAAGAGGACCAAGCCTTTTTCCCCTAGGTACCGGATACATTTTGACATGAACATCTGTATTACCAGATGCTCTAACTCCATCCAGTAAGGAAGCTAACAAAGAATCTCTATCTGTTGCCGTATAACTACGAGTTTGACCATTAAGATACTGTATAGTAAATAATTGTGGATTTTCATTGTCACGAATCAACGCAAAAATATCTGACAGAGGTCTAAGAGTGCAAATATTATATGTTTGAGGATCTCTTTCCAGTAAACAAGTATCAGAGAGACAAAGAGTTCTTCTTTGAGGATCTATATGCCTAGACGAATATTTGTGAACAGTAAATTCTGATACACTTGTTATATGTTCATCACCACTAAATTTACCCAATCTCTGAGCAATAAAATCATCTAATTTGATTGGTTCTTTCAAAACTTTTATGTTGATACCTAAATTATTCATAGCTGATTCCAGCAGCTTTTTTTTAATTTCTTCCATGTATTGGGAGGCAAAAAGGTGTAAACGTCCAAATCCACCACATACAATTACAAATCCATTGGGATAATCTTTCATTGTAAGAATTCCTTCAAAATCTTTATAATAATAACTGGCTAATACCATATTGGTTGCTGGATCTAATTGGTCAAGACTGTATGGTGTCACTTCTAATACAACAGGTAATCTTGTATCAGACCAATGATGTTTATAAGCTTGATATCTCTAGAGAAAATAAAGATATTAGTTTAATAGATATAATACACACATTAAACTATCATGAAATCTCTTGAGATTTTATTTAATTATAAAATTGAATTTTATTTAATAGGATGATTTGATAAAAACATTGAATCAATACTAACAGAAACTATATAGATTGATATATGATAGCACAGTTTGGTATAAAAAATGATAGTATATGTATTAGTTGTACAGATAACTTCAAACAAATAGCTGGTTATTATATATTGACCATATTGTAATGATAACATATATGTTTATCATATTAACCATATGGCTAAGATGATAAGAAATTTGATTAAACTTCAATAGTATTATTTCTTCAGTATTATATAAAATAGCATTATATAAAAAGTATGGAAACTTACCAAAATTTCTTTAGGTTTCTCAGCAAATTGGTTTCTATATTTCAAAGCTTCAGTTAATAAATGGGCTCTGTATTCTGAACTAAATTTCATATTGTCAACTTTTCGTTCTTTGCGCATTGTTATACTAAATTCATGTACACCTAATTGATTTCTATTTGTTGGTTGGACACTTATAAAATCTGAGTATTCCCATTTGTTTGTGACCTCCAGTGTGGTAGGATTATATGTTGTTATACCCATGGATCCAATTGAAAAGATACGTTTGTATCTATCGTATAATCATTAAATAAGATTTCTAATATTTATTTTAAATGAGAATATATAATATAGCAATAAATTAACAAGTAATATTATGTCATATAAAAATATATTAAGCTTATAAAAATTATACAATGTTGAATGTTAAAATATGTTAAAAATATATTATAACATTAACATATATGTTTATTAAAATCTTTTCACTGAAAGATATAAATGTATGGATGGTCCTTATTTAAATATTCTTCTTTACATTATTATATTCTAAATAATCCACTGATATTTTCTTCTTTTATTTGAAATGTATGCATGTAAAAAACACATGTACACTTTACAATGGCAATTTATCTTTTCATAATTAATTCACAATAGTTTAAATCGTGTGTGATTATCTTATTATTTATTGTATGTACATTATTATCCACTAAAACGGAAAGTTTTTGACAAAACAATAAGAACAAGAAATGCGCACTTACTTTCCTTTCCACGAGTGTTTGGTGACCAAAAAACATGCCACATCTTGATTATCCTTTATCGGCATCATTGTAACATTTCTTGACAATGCAACGTGCGTGTTGTTTTAAATAATATTTTGACAAAACACTGGTTACTGTTTGTGAAAGTTGCGTAGCGTAGAAGGGACATTCGCATACGAATTGAGAAAGAATCACAGGAGAGTCATTTTCAAAACGACAGACACAAGAAAAGCAAAATAAACTTGTTGTCGTGTGCACAATATTTATGTTTCACGTGCTAGCGAATGATACTTAGGCACTATTTGATCGCGTTTCAGCCGACTAATGTCATTTTCGACGGCTCCATTGGACTGGGAGCGGCCATGATGCTCGGGGGTGTTAACAAACAGCTGTTTCCAGATGGCAGAATGATCGCGTTAGAAAACTTCATTTATTTATATTGCGTGTAATTTCGCGGTTTTTAACGTTATGTTAATTTACTTCCACTGAAGAAGTTTTTTGCATTTGCAATTGTAAAGAAAAGATACATATCGACGCGAGAGGTAGAGAATTATATAATTATACAAGTAAAACTTTAAATTGATCTTTGTTGACATAACCAAATTAGCATTGTCAATTGTATACTTGTTTATAGATACGTTTATTATATCGTTAGATTGGAGTTGAAAAAGAAATACGCTGTAACTCATTCATTTCATATTTTGATGTTGACTGGAAATATTGTACATGATTTTGTTAAAATATAGTTACAATTTGCATTGCTCTTGTTTTTGCTTGTATAATTGAAACATAACACTTTTGTTCTCTACTATTTATATCAATGAGTTAGATTTTTAACATTATCTGCTATGAAGGTTATATATCAAGTTTAACATATTTGTTAACAAATTGTTGGATAACGACAAAAATTCATTTTTGTACATTTTATTATTTATGTGTTTTATCATAAGTACAAAAATTATAAATAAAATTTTGCAATAAATCATTATTACGCATTAACATATATCATTTCATTGGTTTCAGAATATAAAGTAGACGAGATGATAAAGAATGATACATTTAGTGACAGTGACGAAGGAGAAATAAAATCAAACTTTGAAGAGGATTTTCAAGATGAATTACAAAATTTTCCTCATATTTTGAGATTCATTCAAAGAATGCGCGATCATATTAAAAAACAGAACAAAAAAATTACCAAATTAAGAAATAAAGTGCATGAACATGTGAGGGTTGCATTTCTTAAGTATTATTATCATATTATTTCTTATGTTTTATACTTTTACTTGTTTATAGAAAAGTCAAAAATTAATGCAAAAGAAAACTTTAATTGACTATGGAACTCAAACAAATCCTTTGGAATATGAAAAGGAGTGTCAAGATTGGAATGTTAACAACGATAAAACAACATCTAGTATTATACAGCAAGTTAAAGAAGTAGCTGAATCTGCTTTGTTGCAAACTGGTTTTGTTTATGAAGAAACTTCTGGTTTATATTATGATTACAATAGTGGATATTATTATGATGCAGTGAGTATTTATGTAATAACTCTTAAATTAAATTTTCATTAATAGCTTTTACATGTTACATAAAAAAATCTGTGTTTTAGAAACAAGGTTTATATTATGATGGTAATACAGGTACATATTACTATTATGATGAAACTAGTGGAACGTATCAGTTCCATAGTCAAGCACAAGTATCTATGAATGAAGCAGCTGTACATGTGCAAAGCAAGAAGGAGCAGAAGACTAGAAAGGCAACTAAGGTTGGAATTTAAATTATTGCTATGTAACGTATTTCTGAAGAAAATTGGTCATACAAGTAATTTTTATTTCAGGTTTCAGATGACATACATGAATTAATAAGTGGCCTTTCAAACATATCAATTGAAAAATACAGGCGCCAAGCACTAGGTAATTATCCTATGCTCTTAATATGCACACATGTCTCTCTTGTAGGATGAGGGGAAAAAACGCAAACTTGCAAAAAGAGAAGAACAGTCGGAAGATGAACTTGAGGAGGGTGAATGTTCAAGCAATGATAGTGACAGCAATTCTAGTGACATTACTCCCGAATTATATACTAGTAATGACAGTGACCATGAAGAAGATCAAGGTTTATTTTTAATTATTTATTTAATTATTTATTTTTAATTATTCATTTAATTATAAATAACTTTATAGCCTCATCTGGTATAAAAGAATAGATATTTTATTTACTAATAATTTAACATTGTATAACTTTTAGATTTTTTTTTTTAATTATATGTATGATTCGTTATTTTTTAGTTATGTAGATTAATTATAATGATATAATTAATGTTATAAATATGCATTTGCAAATAATACTGGGGATATTTTATGATTGGAAGTATATCAATTAATTTTTCGTTGTAACAGTTCAATTTTTTTTTCAGATTTAGCGAAAACTTATCCGCCGTGCATGAGAATCATAGTTAAGGAAACTAACTTATCAAAATTAAAAATTGGAAGCCTTTTTGTTGTTGCATACACCGGTGGTTCAATTGGTCGAGAAGGTGACCATTCTGTAGTTATACCAGATATAAATATCAGTAAGGTAAGTTAAAAGTTGGAATTCTTAGTACATTTGTTTTAAAAGACATTAAATGAAACATTTCGATGTTTCAGCATCATGCTCGCATTTTATTTAATGAAGATAAAAAAGTGTATGAGATTACTGATATGGGATCAAGAAATGGCACGTTCTTGAATGGTAAAAGATTATCTGTGGCTAAGCAAGAATCTGAATCTTATGAAGTTTCACATGGTTCGATCGTACAAGTTGGTACTACAAAATTGCTATGTCACATTCACAATGGAAATGAAACCTGTGGTCACTGTGAGCCGGGACTTGTTCAACAAAACAATAACGCGGAAGAGAACAAAGGTTCTAAAAAGGAACAACATAAACAAGAATTAAGACGGCTGAAGTATAAGTTTGGTGTAGAAAAAGATAATGTTGCAAGTGCTAGTCAATTAGCATCAGGGTATCAAGATAGAGCGCAAAATCGAAGACAGTGCATTGGATCTTTGAATCATCATGCTAAAACACAACAAAGTTCAATAGATACGTAAGTAACTTATTTGTTATATTAAACTTTGAAAGCCAATTTAGAGTTATTTTATATTATTTTATATTATTTTATTTTATTTTCTTAATTCCATTTTTGAAGCTTAATTCTGTTTTGTGTATTCCGCAAATAAGGAAGTTCGTCTTCCTGCATACTGCATTTTAACTCACGTGTGTTCATTATGTATTTACAGATCCATAACAAAGGATAATAGAGGATTTAAGCTGTTATCAAAAATGGGCTGGTCCGAGGGACAATCGTTAGGAAAAGAAGGAAGTGGGCCAACTGAGCCGGTAAGTCTTAATTACTTCATATATTTTTGTTTATTTATCTCAACAAATTTATTATTATATCATTTTACATTGGATTTTACTTGAATTAATATATCACTTGTGGCATAGGAATAATATAATTATTCATACGGAAAGGGTTGTTGTTGAAATTTATGACTATTTTCAACTATTTTGTCGGTTTATTGTATTATATATTAACATAGAGAATTTCTTCTAAAGGAAATTTTTAAATTTAGATAATATAGATATTTATAATATATATAGTACAATATTTTTAAATTATTCATACATGGATATGGTTAGTTAATCGGACATTTAAACATTTAGTTTAATCGGACAACAAACATTTTATAATTGAAACATTCAATCTCGACAATTAGCTTTTAATTAAATTGAGTTTGCTTTTCTACTATGTAGTACATGCTGCATATTCTTCAAAAATTAATATCTAACGATTTTTAAATCGAATACAGCAAGATAGAATCTAAATAAGATAGAATTTGTCTATTTTTACTATTTTCTCAAACTTCTTCCTCTTTATAAACTCTAAAAACCAAGATCACGTATAAAATTACAAAGCAAACATTCTTAGTGCGACTTGCTTGATGCTTCTCTACCCAAACAATTCAAAATCCTTAGAATTCTTTCTAAAGAGAAATATATGTCAATCAAAAAACTACGTAAATCTAAAGTAGCCGCGTCAAATGTCTCGTCTGCATAGCTCTTAGAAATGGCCTTCCAGACGCCAGATGCTGACGGTATGTAAACGGCGGTGTCGACGGAAAACATCGTTCTCCGCGTGCATATTAGCGTGGCCGCGATGCCGATGACGTCAATCGGCAATTGCGGGATGTTTCTCGTTTCACCTTCCTGCCGGTGCGTAACATCGGTCAGACCTAGTGTGCAGCACGTGTGCCCAATGCAAAAGGTGTATAGAAACGTTGGCCGGCTGAGCCACTCATTAGCCGAATGGTCGCGTCGCTGCAATCCGGCCTCGTTCGCCTTTTTCAGACGACGTACTAAAAACTACAGGCTGCTGTTGCTGTTGCTGTTCACTCTCTGCGTGCCTCCTCTCTTCCTTCCGTTTGCTTCCACACCGCCACCACCGTCACCACCCTCTGACTGACCCGTCCGATACATCGTATCATACTGACACACACACACACACACACACACACAC